CCCTCACAGCCATGCAAGTAAGCCTGGGGCCTCAGTCTGCTGGAGCCTTCCTGAGGAAGAGGCCATCTTCCATAGTGTACAGTGCTTTTCTTAAATTATCTGAGCTGGATCTTTATTGAATTTTAGCATCAAGGTCACAGTACTGTTCCCAAGGGCATGGTGAAGCTAATAGCCCTTTCCTTCATCATGGGTCATGGCCACTGGGTTGGAAGGACTCTGCAGGCTCAAGATTTGCTCACATCATGAAGGAAAAGATCTCAGTAGGGCTGGGCATCCCAAACACGTGGCTCCTGTGTTGTTGGTTAAGTATGCACACCTGGACCTGCTTAGGTCTACTGTCAGTTTTACAGATAGCCCACGGATTACACAATCTCCATGATTGACAGTGAATTACAGACAATGACCCTTGCAGAAAATTGGGATTAGCCATCTGATCCAGGCTGAGACCCTGAGCTCCATGCATGTTCGGAGACAGGGTTGTGGCAGTCCTCAGAGTTAGTGGCTACCTCTGTAGTCATCAGGAATAACATGCCCAGGGAAGATCAGACTCTCTGCCAGGCACAGTTTGCAGGCATGAGGAATTCAAGAACCCAAAGGTAGGCAAGTGGGTTGTTCAAATGAAGCTAGAGCTGGGCACAGTGGCCCATGCCTGTAATCCCAGTGACTCAGGAGGCTGAGACAGGAGGATTGCAAGATCAAGGCCAGACTCAACAATTTAGCTAGGCTCTAAGCAACTTAGCAAGACTTTGTCTCAAAATAATAAATAAATAAATAAAAAGGGCTGGGGATATACACATGTATATGTGTTTATATATACGTATGTGTATTTACATGTTTGTATTCATATGTGTGTATGTATGTGTATATATGTATATTTACACATTTATTATGAAGCCTGACTGCCTGAAGATTGATGAACCCAAGCTCCTACTGTTTCTTCTTGGGGCAAAAAGCTATCTTGATATACACATCTCATGTCTCACAGCCACAGAACTAAGGGAGCCCAGAGCCATATGGAACTGGATTCAAGACAGTTGCATAATAGCCACATTGAATGCATTGTCTCCCCGGACATCTTACAGGGAAGCTGGAGTGCTGGTGAGGCAAGCATGGGGCCCAGGAAGCTGGGATGGGGAAGTGGGATAACCAGAGATTCCGAACCCCACTTCTCAAGATCCTTCACACACAGCCCCAGCCCTTAAAACCTAGGAGTCAGGTTTCAGAGACCCTCTCTGAGGCTGGAAGACATGGCTCCTCCAGGATCACAGGAAGTCAAGTTAATGTCAGCAAAAGTCTAGGTTGTGTGGGACAGATTCTAAGAGAGCAGGCCTAGTCAGCAGCTCTGTCCTTTGGGACACCCACCAGGCATCTGGGTCAGCAGAGCCAAGTCAGGCAGCAGGCATCCCTCATTGCTACACTGTCAAAACAGTTTAGTCATGTCCAGTGGTGCACATCTGTTAGCTCAGCGAGGCAGGAAAATAGCAACTACAAGAATATAAGAATATAATGTTGTCCATAAGATTAATTATATGTTGAGCAACTCAGCAAAACACTGTCTCAAAAATAAAATTTGAAAAAAGATCTGAGATGCAGCTCACTGGTAAAGCACTTGCTTGACATAAGCAAGGTCCTGGGTTCTATCTCCATTGCGGGGGGGGGGGGGGGGGGGGGGGGCAGCATTACTCGCCTGATTTCCAGAGGCAGGTCAGGACACAGATCCCAGTGCCTTGAAGAATGGGAGCCAGGCACTCCTGAGCAGGGAGAGGCCTCAGGGTAACATAACAGCCTAGTCCTCAAGTTGTCTTTCCTGGTGATTTATCAGTAAAACTCAGCAGAGACCTGTAGTCAGGAGTAACAGGACTCCAGGCTGCAGCTCACTGGTTCCTGGGAGCCTTGGTTGCCAATCAGTCCACTGCTCAGAGAGGAGACTTAGGGGTCAGAGGAGAGATGCCACTTTGGCCTGGGTCTGTCACCATGGTAATGGAGCTGGAATCAGCATGCTCAGCAGCAGTAAGAACTCCTCCTTGGCTTCTTGGCAGGGAGGAAGGACACTGGGGTAGAACTGGCTAAGTACTTGGTGTGCACACAGACCAGTTGGTACTGGCTCCAGCCCCCACCCTCAGTGGTTCTGACAGGAGGGGTACAACCAGGGTGTTGGTTTTTTAAGGCACTCTAGGCAGTTCTGGTGTGTGGTACCAGTTGCCAAATCCTGGACTAGCCCAGAGTCAAGCTTCCACCACTCTCAGACACCTGCATGGAGCGGGTGTGCTGCACACTCACCCTTCACTCCCCTGCCTGCCAGTCTGCAGGAGTGGGCATGTAAAGTGTCCTGAATCACTGTTTGCTCCCTTGCTGGAGGTCCTGGGGGAAGCCGCTGTCCAGCCCTTCCTCCCACAGTAAGCCAGGTCAGTTCAGGCCCACAGGTGATCTCTCAGATGTACGGGCAGAAACCAAGCTGTACAACAAGCTAGTGATGAGAGGGTTTTACTGCTCCCTTTTGGAACACCCACTCATCCAAAGTGGCCAGCTAGTAAGGTGGCTGTGGGTTCTGGGTTCAGGTAAATGACCCACCTGTCCTTGCCGCAGTCAGAGGAAAGGGGAAAAGAAAGAAGGCAGAAAAACACTCTTCTTACTCAAGTTGCAAACAGGATCGTTTTCCAGTCTCTTCTACCCACACCCCACTGGCTAGAATTTCATCCATTGGGGAGACTGAGCTGCCAGGAGGTCTGGGAAATATAGTTTTCGGGTGGCAGACCTGTGTCTCCTAAAGGGTAGGGATGGAACCTAAGAAACCAGCAGCAGCAGAGCCACCTCAAATAGGTGGAGAGTGACAGGAACACTGCTTTGCTCAGCAGGTACAGCACACCTGGAAATGGCTCTAAGAGCCACAGAGAGCTGCCTCCCTGCAGCAGCCTGATTCCTGAGGACTTGGGTCATTGCATCATCCCATAGTCATTACACCAACAGGACCCGCTGAGCAGGAAGTAGCTATACCCGGAGGACACATTTGCCAATGGCAGAGATGGCTGGCCAATTCCTCTTACTGCCTTCCTCCTGTAATCATTCAGCTGATCTGGTGTATGAATCCCCAGAATAAAAACTATGTTTCCTGGGTTGGGGCTGGGGCTCAGTAGCAGAGCACTCGCCCAGCATGTGTGAGGCACTGGGTTCTATTCTCAGCACCACATATAAATAAATTAATAAAATAAAGGTCAATCAACAACTAAAACTATATGTAAAAAATAAAAAAAAAAAGTACATGTCTGTGTCCCAGTCTCCTCTTATAAGGACATCATCATTTGGGTTCAGGACCCACCTTAGTAACCTCATCTGAACTAGTGACCTCACTTAGTGACCTCATCTGCCACAACCCTGTCTCCAAATAAGGACACATTCTGAAGTACTGGGGTAGGACTTTGATATAAAAGTTTTCAAAGACACAATTTAGGCCACAATAGAGATGATATTTGCACACGTTGGGGCATAATTTTGAGTCACCACCCTGTCCCTCTTCCCCGTACTGGGAGCCTGGTTTTGATAGCAGGAACTCCATCTCGGACCATGAGGATAAGTACCAGCTGTCCATTGCCACAGGGCCTAGAAAAGCTGGTATTTGTGTCACTATTGTTGGGGGCTGTGTTCTACCCAGCCAAACTTAGATCCTAACTGTTACCATGCCTGAGGGTGCAAGAGGAACACCAAGAACAATACAGGGCTGTGTCACTGATGTTTCCAGGGGCCCAGGGGTCTGTTTCCTGTCTTGTCATCCTTGTCATCAGTACCACTCCAGTCTCAACAACACCATCAACTGTCAGGAAATGGTCATGTGTCCCTCCCCCATCAGGGCCCAAGCCACAAGACCAATGTAACTGGTGACAGAAGCCAGGAGAGGTGCTGAGGAGACGGCTCTGAAGATCCTACCTCTCCCTAGGAGGGTGCCACTTCAGGCCTCCGCTTTTCCTGCGAGGGCTCAGGCCAGGCCAGCCAGGCCTCCCTGGCTTGGGGATTCTGGTAGCAAGTGTTTCCATATTGGGCTAGTGTCCACCTCCCGTCCACGCCAACACAGGGCACTCACCCCTGGCTCCTTCTTCTAAGGGCCCAGCGGGGTGAGCTGATGGAATACGTGTCATTTTTAAGATACGCCTGAAAAAAACAACTTTAGGAAAGAAAACATGCTGAAAATGTCACTTTAGGTCTCTCAACACAGATGAAGGCATTTCCTGGGGCTGATTTGATAAGTGACACAAACCAGATGTGACAAACAACAGGAATTTATTCCCTCAGTTCAGTCAGCTGAGCAGGGTCCTTTTAGAAGTGTGGGGAGAGTCTGTGTGCACTGTGCCCTCCCACCTCTGTTTCCCTGGCATTCCTGGGCATGAAGACAGTGACCCCATCTCCAGCCACGGCCTCGGCCTCTCGTGCCTTCTTACCTGTGTGTCTCAAATCTTCCTCTCCTTCCTCTTACAAAGACCGCAGTCAATGGATTAAGCACCCACCCTAATCCAGGATAATCTCCAAGATCCTTATCTTGATGACATCCACAGAGACTGTTCCCAATGAAGTCACATTCACTGGTACCAGGGGTAGAACTTGCACAATCTTGGGGGGAGGGGGTGGCATCGCACCCAAATAGCTACTGAGAAGCGCTGCCTCTTTGACCTTCATGCTACATGTATGCTCCGCCTTTTGTTTTTAGGGTTTTTATGTTGGTTTGGGGTTACTGAGAAGCATCAAACCCACAGCAGATGCCTTGAAGCACACAGATCCTTGCAAAGGACAAACACAGTGTGGGGCCACACACTGTCACAGACACCCACCCCAGGGCTCTGCGCCTGCCTGGCTGCTGGCCAGACACCCACAGCTGTCACTCTGGCCAAGGACAGTGGGGCCAGTGGGGCCCACACAAAGGACACAGACAGAAAATCTGCTGTGCTGGCCCTGGAGCTCCATCTGGAAGCTTCCGCTGCACGTGAATGTGCCTGCTTCCTCCTTCCTTCTTGCCTGAATCTGCTTATCCCAGCACCTAGAGAGGATGTCTCTGTGCACAAGTGGAGATGACTCTGCAGCAGGGAATCCTGGGGTATGTCTGTCCTCCTGGACTTCTGTCCTCTAAATTGGAATGTCTCAACAATAGTGGCTTGTGTCTTGCCCTCCAGATGACCCAGTCAAGGCCTTTGGTTAAAACAAGATAGAGTCACTGGGCTGTCAATACTGGGAAGGGCCTTGCTTATCCTGACTTGGCAAGAGAGGAATAGCCCAAGCCACCTGCAAGGCTGGGGACCCCACCTTGGCCCCACTCAGGGACACTGGCAAGCCCGGGGAGACGCAAACTCTGCCCCAGAGCCAGACAGCCACCAAAGCACCTCCAACAAGCAGTGCCAGTGGCTTCAGAGTGCTGGCTACCATCTAGCTCCCATAGCAACTCAGAGACACCCTGAGGCTGCCCCTAAGAGGCAGGCTCAGACTGGGGACATCTGCTGGCCAGGAGCACTAGGGCGGGGTGACCCCAGAGCAGGAGCAGGGATTCAGTCAGCAGCAGAAAGTCTTTTCTCTGCAGGTCCACAGAGGCCACTCTGTCCTGGCCTGTACTCCAGTGCCCACTGCCGACAGGCGAGGGCAAGCAGGACTGCCTCGGAGGGCCCTGAGTTCGGACTTTGGCCAAGGCACTATATACTGAGGATTGGGAAATGGGGCAGAGGGCTGGCTTACTTTCTGGACAAGGGGGCTAAATTGTTAGGATTTGGTTAAATAATTAAGGTTTGGGTTACTGAGTCATAAATTCCAAACCCAACTTTTTTCTTTGTTTCTTTTTTTAGGGTATTGGGAATTGAACACCAGGCACCACACATGCGAGGTAAGTGTCTTACCACTGAGCTACATCCCCAGTCCATTTTTATTTTATTTGAGACAGGGTCTTGCTAAATTGCCCAGGTCGCCCTTGAACTTGTGATCCACCTGCCTCATCAAAAACAATTTCTTAGCCAGGAACAGGTCTGTAATCCCAGTGACTCAGTTAGTCTCATGAAGAAGAATCATAGGTTTGAGACCAGCCTGGTCAATATTTGAAGACCCTCTCTCTCTCAAAAAAAAAATTAAAAGTCCAATTCCCAGTTATTTACACACACACACACACACACACACACACTCTTTAACTAAATGTAATTTTATAAACCTTGCTATTCCCTTTGTAAATCTAAAAAGCTTTACAATCTTTTTTTTTCTTCTTCTTCTCATTGCTGGAATTGAACACAGCGGTGCTCAACACCTTCCACACTTTTTAATTTTAAATTGCTGAGGATGGCCTTGATTGAACTTGTGATCTTCTGTCTCAGCCTCCTGAGTCCCTGGGATTACAGGACCGTGCCATTGCAACTGGAGAAACTTTATAGTTATTTCTTTCTTTAGTTGTAGATGAACATGATACCTTTATTTACTTATTTTTATGTGGTTCTGAGGATGGAAACCAGTGCCTCACACATCCTAGGCAAGCGCTCTACCACTGAGCTACAATCCCAACCCCTTTATAGTCATTTTTAAGGAGCCTCTGGATGACATTTGGTCCCATCTACAAATTCAGTTAATTAAACATTTTCAACATTTCAAGCTGAATTTAATTTACACTAAATATCCATGGTTAAGGTCATCAGAATTGACAACAAAATCTGAGGAATCTCAACAACTCAAACAGATTAAAATCCGAGAGTGCTCTACCAAACATGTTCAGGTTTAGTTATCAGAGTCCTAGGCTGAAGACCCCAGCTCTAGGAGTCCCAACAGACCTGGCTCAGTCACCTGTCCCAATATGCAAGGTCTTTGAGATTTCATAGAAAAAGGCAAGGGTGCTTGGGGGCTGGCCGGGCAGGGTCTCTGCATCACTGGCAGAGTAGGTCTTTGGTCAGCCATGGTCTGGTGATTGTTATCCCAGAATTGGTTCTGTGAAACACTGAGAGGGTTGTCATCTGGAAGGGATGATCTCTTCCCCTCCTGGGATGATTGCTCTTGCTTGGGGGGCAGTCTCCATTCCAGCATCGGGCAAGGGCAATCGTTCCGCCTAAGGAGCAATCATGGGATGATCTATTCTCCAAGGTTCCAGGTACTCGGAGGTAGTTTCTATTCCTTGTCATAAAGATGCTTATCGATCAGACCTGTGGTTCGTGGAATTCAAGATGACCACAGGATAAAGTGGCTCAGAAGGAAAACACACTTGGACAGATGAAGTCAGGCCAGCGATGAGCCCTCCTTCAGCACCGCTCAACCCAGAAATGCCGGTGCCCTGGCTCTGGCTCTCTTAGGCCTCATTCCACAGCTTCCGTAGCCTCTATCCTTAGGTGGGCGGGTGGGTATCCACTGAAAGAAACCCGTTTTCACCCCAGGGACCTGTGGCCCCTTGATGCCAGCTCCAGGGAGCTGAGAGGCAAGCCAACAGGCCTTGGGAACCAGCTCTGCAGACGGGGCTGGTCCTGGCCTCCTTGCTCCTCCCTCCCTCTGTTCCCGAGGCCTGCAAGGCAGACCTAGGTGCACTCCGAGTGCATTTTGCAATTCTGTAGCTCAAAGGACTCTGACCTCAAGTGGGACCCCAAGAAGGATAACTGCCTTTGCCACTTAAGAGATCTGTGAACTTCACAACTCTCAGGACATCCAGAACAGCTCACTGGGCCCTCTCTAGAGCTCTGCCCAACTTGGGTTCACCATGTGCCAACAGTGCTGGGCACGCTGGACACCAGGAAAGCAGTTGTTGCATGACCTTCAGCACACACATCCAGCCCTGGCCGCTCTGGAAAGACTTGGGGGACAGTTGGCAGAGAATATGGGGAAGGGAAAGAAGGGAACCTTATTGGAAAGGAAAAAGAGAGAAAAGCTCAGCTCATGAAGACTCTGAATGGGGAAGTAGCCACACAGTGCACCAGGAGTTGGCCCCGGTGTTTGGGGAGTGTGTGGTGTGTGTGGGGGTGGTGTGTGTGTGTGGCGGGGTGTGTGTGTGTGTGTGTG